CTGCCAGGGGTGGGAGGCGGCTCCCGGGCTTTACGCTGCGGGAAGCGAGTACCGCTACCTGAGAACTGAGGAGGTGCTACTCGCATGCAGGTTCCTTACAGGAGAGCCGTATTTCGGGGAAGGCTGATGCGATCACGAAGCGAGCTGTTTTAAGTTGCAAACAGATTTTTACTTCGCGCGTAACAGAGGAGAAGGTATTTTTCTCCGGAATAGATTTTTTTTTTACTCGCCTTTCAAGGAGGAAAGCGCGGAGTAGCAGCTCGGTGTGGCACTGGAGCCTCCAGGTGCAAAATACGTGGATGGCCGCTGCCACCTGGTGGTTAAATCCACGACAGTTTTGCAGGGTTTATACTCCTGATGGGTAGTTTTTTGGTACAGTTGTGAAGGAAAAATACAACTGCGTGCAGGAGCATAGCTTTGGCTGGATAACTTTTCATGCCCAAGCCCCTGTTATTTATCAGTGAGCTTCTGATAGCTCTTTAAAGTGTCTTTTTTTACATACGAATAAAGCTGCGATGTGTTTGCTTGCTATGCTTTCCCTGTCACTATGTTTCATTTTTACTGCTTGCTGTCTATATTGCTGAAGATCATTAATCTCTTTTTCAAAACATCTTTTAAATTACTGTCCTCTAAAGAATCCTAGGGATTCACTTGTGTTAGTCTGCATGATGAAACAAAAATCAGAAGAAGAATTGGCTTTGCTTGCTTTTATCTTTGTTCTTGTTACAAGGTGAAAAATGTGTGTATGTGCTTTTTAAAAGAAAAACTACTGTAAAATGTCTTCTTTTTTTTTTTTCCTCTATATTTCTGCTTCTGTTAGTGCAAACATGCATATTAGCCCAGTAGATTAACTGTACTTTAAATGACCAAATCATTAAGGGCAGCCTCACCAGATTCAGCAGAGAACACCGTTTAGTCTCTTATAACCGTGCTGTGCCCACAGAGCTGTTAGCAGCAGCCTCCCTCTTTGTGGATCAGGTAAGGAACTGTGTAGGTGAAACCTACCACCTCAGTTTGACGTTTCTTTATAGTTGCTCATGCCTGAAGACAAAGACCTTGGTGGGCAGAGGAGCAATCAGGTCTGCTGCCAGCTGGGAAGTTTGTTGTTGCCAAGGAGTGAGGCGGGGGTTTGTTCCTTTTGCACCGTCCACTGCCACTTCTTTTGACAACTATGGTGCTTTCTGGACTGCTCTGTGAGCTGACAGTTTTCTGATGGATTACTGAGTAACTCACAGGGAGGGAGAAAAAGAGAATTACTGTGAAGTTCCCAAGTTTAAATTGTCTCACGAAAAGATGTGACGGGTGTCTGAGATGATTAATGGAGATGGTTGGGACTGCGTAGCCAGGAGTGAAGGGCAGCGGGAAGTGAGACGTGCTCTTTCCTGCTCTTCCGTGCAAGCTGTTTGGCTGGCGTACTGAAGTAAACTGAAATCAATGGCTGCTGATGCACTGAGCAGTGAACTAGAGTTTCTCAGAATTGGACACGCTGCCTGTTTCCTGCTCTGTCTTGTGAGGTGATGGTGACCTGTGTTACCAAAGCTCAGGGAGGGTCAGTGTCTGAATCCATGGCTAAAAGCCAGGATGTGTTGAGTTCTACCTGACAGTGTCACTGGAAAAAAAAAAAAAGACAGTTTTCTGCTGTATCATATTCTTTTAGAAAAATAAACTGATACTCCCTACGTTCTTCCCCCCCACCCTGTGTATTCTGGCTGATATATCAACAGTTCACTGTAGATTCTTGTTCGATTCTTGATTTGCTTTTCAATTTTATTTTTAAAATTAGTTTCCTCTCTAAATCTGCTTAAACCAAATTTTACTGTGGTACCCATTCTTCCCTTGTTCTGATAGTAATTTTTCAGGCTTGATGGTTATAGTCCTTCATTTTTTTTCAGCTCCCCTGTTTTTCCTAGTGCTTTTTTCTGAGTTACTTTCAACTTACCTCTGAGAGATAAGTTTGGTAGATACCAGGTAAACACGGGTAGTATTCTACTGATTTCAGTGCAATACTGAAGTACAGTAACTTTAGATAAATGAGAACTCTATGTGAATACTCTCCAAACTCTATATAGGTTTTGCTTTTTCTTTTTGCAGAAATGGGTAGTTTTCTAGCCATCGCTGAAATGCTGCTCAGTCCATATGATGTGTTTGAGGCTAGAAGAAAAGACAGTGCCATGTCCAGAGGAAACAGCTAGAGAAACTTAGGTAGGCAAATGTAGTTGATAGATTTTTTTCCTTTCCTTCTCAATTACAATTCTTATTCAAGCACTGTTGAGAAGTGATATTCTGGACATAATGTTAATTCAGGCCCCAGAAAACACAGATCATTAAAATTACTGAATATTTACTGTTGTAACGTAGGCATACAGCTTAGGAGGATGGCAGTATGTTGAGGAGGGGGTATCACATTCCCTGTGTGCTGATTGCTTTAAGAACCAAAACTAGTAACAGCTGTGGTCTTAAAGGTCCGGCCTTCCAACATAAATTAGCATCTCACTGTTATCAGGTGTGTCTCATGGTCTTCAGTGGCCACCATTCTTCTCCTTATGGACAAAATTCCTGGGAAATAACCAAAGTTTATGCAATTCAGCATACTTTAAAGTGGAGTTTTTGAGCTAATCAATACACAAACTACTTTGTACAGACACAACTTCATGTCAAGTATGCATGGATTTTGGGGTGCCTATTTTTAGTGGGTGACTTAAAGGAAGTGACACCTAAGTCCTGTGGATACTTTCAGGATCTCTGTTCTAGAGTATCCTAAAAAGTCCTTTGGCTTTCTGGTCATTTAGAGGGCCCTCTCTCTTTCACACCTTCCAGTATAGGGGGAAAGGTTGTTATTAGAGTTGTGCTTTGGAAGTAGGGAGGCTTGACCTTATTTTCCTCTCTTTCCATCTACCTCATGGAAAAATCCATTGTCCTAGTGATTCTTTTCAGTTCTCACAGCTAACCTACAAATCTCTGCCTCTTGCATAAACTGACTCCTCTGAAGCCGTCAAACAGAGGTATGGTGTGAGGTGTTTCCTTTTGTTTGAATGATGTGGCAGGGGGAGGAAGAGGGGAAAGTCACTGTGGTTCTGCAGGTTGCTTAACTAAATCTTTAAGCAGCTGTGAACTGCAAAACACATAACCTGCATACTTCAGAGAGTTGCCTGGAATGCTTTCAGTGTGAATTTAAATGTGGGGGGTTTTAGTGTTATGTTGTATTTGCTGATAACAGCAAGCTTCAAGAGTGTTCCTCTGTGCTTATAACATCTTAATCTTTGGACATGTGTCTTGGATGCTGATGTCTCCCCAGCACCTGAAGGAGCAAGCTTCACTCAAAGATCTAACACCGGTCCTTTCCTTGTCAATTGTCACATGAATTTCTGAGCAAATTTATTCCAGCCTTGATGTTTAATTCATTGTGAAAAATGTGCTTGATTGAAATATTAACAGCAATGTTTCTGTTATCTTGTTGTGGTTTTATTTTTTCCTTCCTCTGGGTTGTGAAGGAAGGGGAGCAAACAGCAGAATAGCAACAGAAAGTCAGAGTACTTGTTTATGCAGTCATTTCCCTTGTGTGCAGTGATCTGCATCTGTGGTTCAGAGGACGACAGGTAACTTCTGTGTCTCCATTGATGAGAATACCTACTCACACCAAATACATTCTTTTGGGAGGTGGCCATACTGGTTACTTTCAAATACCTCATTTAGAAGCCCAGGCCCCT